GGAGAGTTAGGCCAGACCAGCTTATTGGAATAGAAATGTTTTCAGGGCACGGCGGAATATGCGTAAGTCTTGGATGTTTCGTAACTCCGGGGGAAGCCCGTTCCAGATGGTAGGTGCCCCCACAGAAAAGGCTCTCCCCCTGAGGGCCGTCAGTCAACATTGTTTGGCCAACGGCACCCTGAGGAGTCCCTCTCTATGGGAGCGAACTGGTCAGTGAGAGGCTATTGGTGGCAGGAGGCGGTCTCGTAAGTACCCTGGTCCTGAGCCATGGAGCGCTCTAAAGATAGTAACCAAAACCTTGAAGCGCACCCGGAAGACCACTGGGAGCCAGTGCAGCTCACGCAGGACGGGGGTTACATGAGAGCGCCACATTGCTCCCATTACCACCCATGCGGCCGCATTCTGGACCAGTTGGAGCCTTCGGGTGCTTCTCAAGGGGAGCCCCATGTAGAGAGCATTACAATAATCCAGGCATGAGGTGACAAGGGCGTGAGTGACCGTGCGTAATGAGTCCCGATCCAGAAAGGGATACAACTGGCGAATCAGGCGAACCTGATAAAAAGTCCTCCTGGCTACGGCCGTCATATGCTCTTCAAAAGACAGCCATGAGTCCAGGAGGATGCCCAAGTTGCGAACCCCATCTGTGGGGGCCAACGACTCGCCCCCAATAGTCAGAGATGGCGCCAACTGACTATATCGGGACGACGGAAACCACAGCCACTCGGTGTTGGATGGGTTGAGTCTGAGTTTGTTCCTCCCCATCCAGATCCGTACGGCCTCCAGGCACCGGGACATCACCTCGAGGGCATCATTGGGGTGGTCTGGGGTGGAGATGTACAGCTGGGTGTCATCAGCGTACTGATGGTACTTCACCCCAAAACCACGGATGATCTCACCCAGCGGCTTCACATAAATGTTGAATAGAAGGGGCGAGAGGACCGATCCTTGTGGCACCCCACATATAAGGGGCCTCGGGGTCGACCTCTGCCCCCCTGTCAACACAGACTGCGACCGGTCAGAGAGAAAGGAGGAGAACCACTGTAGAACAGTGCCCCCCACCCCCAACCCTTCCAACCGGTGCAGCATGATATCATGATCGATGGTATCAAAAGCCGCTGAGAGGTCTAGTAGGACCAGGACAGAGGAGCAACCCCTGTCTCGAGCCCTCCAGAGATCATCAACCAATGCGACCAATGCTGTCTCTGTGCTGTACCCGGGCCTGAATCCCGACTGGAACGGATCTAGATAATTCGATTCATCCAGGTACTGAGGCAGTTGTCGTGCAACCACACTCTCAACAACCTTTGCAACAAAGCGAAGGTTGGAGACAGGACGATAATTTGCTAATACAGCTGGATCCAGGGAGGGCTTCTTGAGGAGGGGCCTCACCACCGCCTCTTTCAAGACGGTGGGAAAGACACCCTCACTCAAAGAAGCATTTATAATCTCCTGGAGCCAGCCTCGCATCACCTCCCGGGAGGCCAGTACCAACCAGGATGGACATGGGTCCAATAAACATGTGGTCACATTTAGTCTGTTCAGTATCCTGTCCACGCTTTCAGGAGTCACAGGATCAAACTCTTCCCAACTAATACTCTCAGGACCTGCCCCTGTCATCTCCTCTGGATCAATCCAGTCAGAGTCTAGCTGTTCACGAATCTGAGCAATTTTGTCATACAGATATTGTACAAAATCCTCAGCTCTACCCTCTAAGGGGTCTTCCCGGGTCTCTTGGTTGATGTTTCTGAAATACTCGCTCTCTTTTTGAGGTCACGTTTTCTAATTTGAAATCCCCGTTTCGACTCTTCTTGCTTGTATAATCATTTAGTCCATTCCTTTGTCCATATAGCCAAAATTTGTTGCCATAAAGATTGTCAGCTTGCAATAAGGAGTCTATTTGTTGCTTTTCTATCAATTGAATGGAAACGTCCACCAAAACCATTGTTTCAACTGTGCCAGCCTGCCTTTCAATCCTGACAGCCTTTTGCTTTTCCAAAAACAAACTCCTCTGAGTAATTTCCTGCTGGCCATCCAACAACTGCTTATGTTTTCCCAAGCTGTTTTTTGAAAAAGCTCTCTCAATTGTATCCATAAGAGCAGAATTAAAAAAGTCTAGAGATTCTTGAAAAGCCTGAACAGTCACAGCTTGAGAATTTGCTGATTCACCAGCCCTGATGTCAGCCATATTTCATCCACTTTGTATTCATCCAGCTGTCAGGACAACAATTCCAACTATTTTCCACACAGTATAAAAGCAAGCTTTTAATTAAAATCAGTACTAAATTCTTTTCCTCAATACCAAACTCTTTTCCTGGGCGCTTCCACTTTAAAACTTTCTCTTAAGGTGTAATCCAGTAGCTGTATCACTGTTGCAAACATTAACAAGCGTTAACAAGCACTTTCCCTGGTAGCTTCCTCCTCCCGCTCTCAGACGCCATTTTCTGCATTTTAAAACGGAGTTAAAGTATTACTTGCAATTTTTTCCTTTTTTCTCCTGATTTGCTCTGTCTGCAATCAAAGTAGAGATGTTAAAAGTCCCCCCAGTTGTTTTCAGCAGATTTTGGTTGCGGCTTCTAGCTCCACATTAGCGGAGTCATCCCTGGTCCGGAGCAGCTTGACAGGCTTCAATAGGGAGCCCACACCCTTCGCGCCCCAGGATTTCTCCTGGCGCACTTGGGGGGCTCTACCTCTGCCTGTCGGCTCTTCTCTCTCCCCTTTGCCCGGGGAGAGGGTTTTTCGCCGCCAGACAGCTGTTTTTTGGCCAACATGGTATCATGCTGCACCAGTTGGAAGAGTTAGGGGTGGGAGGCACTGTGTTGCAGTGGTTCTCCTCCTTTCTCTCTGACCGGTCACAGTCTGTGTTGACAGGGGGGCAGAGGTCGACCCCGAGGCCCCTCATATGCGGGGTGCCGCAAAGGTCGGTCCTCTCGCCCCTCCTGTTCAACATTTATGTGAAGCCGCTGGGCGAGATCATCCGTGGTTTCGGGGTGAAGTACCACCAGTACGCTGACAACACCCAGCTGTACATCTCCACCCCAGACCACCCCAACGATGCCCTTGAAGTGATGTTCCGGTGCCTGGAGGCCGTGCGGATCCGGATGGGGAGGAATAGGCTCAGGCTCAACCCATCCAAGACCGAGTGGCTGTGGTTTCCGACGTCCCGATATAGTCAGTTGACACCATCGCTGACTATTGGGGGCGAATCGCTGGCCCCCACGGAGAGGGCTCGCAACTTGGGCGTCCTCCTGGATTCACAGCTGTCTTTAGAAGAGCACTTGACGGCCGTGACCGGGAGGATTTTTCATCAGGTTCGCCTGATCCGCCAGTTGTGTCCCTTTCTGGATCGGGACTCGTTACGCACAGTCACTCATGCCCTCGTCACCTCCTGCCTGGACTATTGTAATGCTCTCTACATGGGGCTCCCCTTGAGGAGCACCTGGAGGCTCCAACTGGCGCAGAGTGCGGACACGCAGGTGGTAATGGGAGCGACATAGCGTTCCCATGTAACCCCCCTCCTGCGCGAGCTGCACTGGCTCCCGGTGGTCTTCCGGGTGCGTTTCAAGGTTTAAAGCACCTTTAAAGTGCTCCATGGCTCAGGACCTGGATACTTGAGGGACCGCCTACTACCACCAATAGCCTCCCACTCGCTGGTACGCTCCCACAGAGAGGGGCTTCTCCGGGTGCCGTCGGCCAAACAATGTCGACTGGCGGCCCCCAGGGGGAGAGCCTTCTCTGTGGGGGCACCTACTATCTGGAACAAGCTCCCCCCGGAGATACGGAGGATCCCGGATCTGCGCACCTTCCGCCGCGCCTTAAAGACCTTTTTATTTCACCAGGCGGGCCTGGCCTAATTTTCTCCCTCTTTTATAAAAGATTTTTAATTTTTTAATATTTTTTAGTATTTTATATATTCAAATTTTAAAATTGGTTTTAAATTGATTGGGGTTTTAATTTGTTTGGGCCAAAACTATTTAATTTGATTTTAATTCCACTTTTAAATTTTGTATGTATGTATTTTATTGTTTGGCTGTGCACCGCCCTGAGTCCTTAGGGAGTAGGGCGGTATAGAAATCAAATAAAATAAATAAATAAAATAAATAAATAAAATAAATTTACGGTGCCGGGGATCGGGCGCTCATGAAAGAGCGTCAGCGAAGCTCGCAGAGCCAACAGGAAGCCCCACTTGCAGACATTCTGTTGTGGCTCCATTACCTGAGCCTGTGTCATCGGCAGGAGAGGACTCCGAGAGTGAAGGAGACGAGTTGGCAAGGCCTCCCTCTCCAGGACCCTCCTCTCTGGCAATGCCTTTAGTGTCCGCCAAAGGGAAGAGATAGGGCCGGGGCCAAACACGCAGCCACAGGTGGACAGTGATGAGGGAAATGAGTCTTGGCTGGATCCTCGGCAGCGTTGCAGAGAAAAGCGCACGCAACAGAAGAAAAGCGTGCCAGAGATTAAGCTGAGTCACTGGACCACACCCCACAGGGTATAAAAGGGGGTGAGGTGGCCATTCAAACTCTGTGATGGACAAAACTAACTACTAGCGAGTCACATTGCATCTTTGGAAACAACATTATCGGCCTTGGATTTATTTTACGAACTGGACAATTCTTGACTGTGTGTATTTTGTTTATGAGTAAAGTTCCTGGCAAGCAGCTCCTGGGTTACTGCCAAGCTTCTTATCGGAAGAATTGGTTGTCTGCCAGTTTATTTAACCCCCGGCTGTCTGTTTGTGTGCATGTGTGAGATGGGGACAGAACACATTCCTCCAACCCCTATCATGATTGAGGAGGAACAACTCTTCGAGATTAAGGAAATCCTAGACACATGCACTCACCACGGCTCCACACAATATTTAGTAGCCTGGAAGCATTTACCCCCCTCCCAGAATGAATGGGTAGCTAAAAAACATGTTAGGGTCCCCATTGAAAAGGTTCCACTCGCAGTACCCTAACAAATTCAAATAACTCACTAATGATGTTTCTCTTGTGCTTTCTTTACAGGTCTACCCCTAATTTTCTAAGGGGGCAGCATGTCAGATCCCTTTTGAAATGCCACTATCTCAAGAGTCCATACTTTCTTGAATCGGGAGTAGAGGCAGGACCTTACAGATAGTTATGCAGTTTTAAACTTTAATGCCAATATATCAGGTCAAAATCTACAGCAATTTATAAGAGGCCAAACTATTTATTCTAAAACAAATACAAAATATCCCTTTGACTATGAAGTAAATCAAGTCTTGTGTCTTTTTTAAAAAAATTGAATTTAGTGCCTGTTGGTGTATGGTTGATAGTCTCTGAAATGGGGGAAAATGAAATAATTCTAAATGGATTTCTATTGGCAACCAGCTTTGGCATCATAAAGTATAGCAAAGAATTTCTGTAATAAATGTTTAGTTTATCAGAGAAAAATCCAGACTATTGGTATGTCTTGGAGGTGGGAGAGGTAATGATTAAAAAAGAGTTGGTATTGAGGTTTTTGAGTCCTAAGAAGTTAATTACAATAGCTCAGTTTTTAAGGAGCTGAAGGAAGAGTTCTAGCTTTATTTTAGCCAGTGAACTACCGAGGACAGCAGAAATATTAAATTATGCAGTTCTTGGAATAATTCTGTTAAACATTAATCATTTCACCCAAGGCCTTCTGAGGACTTTTTATCTAGAACTCTGCTCTGATCAGCTATTGCTGTGCAAGTCCTTTCAAGAAATCTCACTGCCAGGAGGTTAAGATAATTTGTCTACTTAGACTCAAAATAATCTATTCGCTGTCTGGTATAAAGAGAATTTCAGTTTCTTTGTTAGATTTCTCTTCTTTCTTTTCTTTTTTTCTATCTTCCTTTTGTTTGTTCTGATATAGCTAGACTTCAGTTATAAGCAATGGTCCTTAAAGGGAGAGTTGCAGATAAAGATTAGGTCAAGTTAATTATGTCCTCTCATATGGTGATATTGCATGCATGTACAAACAGGATAGGGCTTCAAATATGATCCAACACAATTTTAAAATGTATTTGTTTACATACATACATACATACATACATACATACATACATACATACATACACACACACACACACACACACAGAGAGAGAGAGAGAGAGAGAGAGAGAGAGAGAGAGTTAATTTCTGTATATATGTGGAAACATCTATCTTAGAACTTAAATCCAATTTTTAGAGTTATTCTCCATGTTTCTTGATACACTGCAAATGCATTTCTCCAGCTGGCACTCAGCTATATCTCTCCCTTAAGGCCCCTTTGTGACTTTGATTGAATGACAAAACTAGGAAAGGGATAAAGGAAGTGAACATTATGCACTCTTATATTTATGAAATGGTTGATGTAAAAAGGATAGAAAGCTATCCTTTCAATTTCCCTCTTTTTCCATACTTAAATTAAAAACTTGGAATTTTTTTATTAGAAATTAGTCTGTGTACATAATTCTGTATCTTTAGAGTTTTTCATCTTCAAAATTTAAATAAACTGATTATAAACTAATTAATTTTACAATATTTGTACACAAAATATGAGCTTATTGAATATTAATTTAACTGAATAGTTTATGAATGATGAATAGTCATGTTAATTCTTTTTCTTTCTTTTTTGAGTAGTAGCAATCTATAAATTCTGATAATTAACTTGAATGTATATTAAAACAGCAAAGTAATGCATTTATTCTGTATGTTCAAATTCAACACTAAAGTTGAAAGTTTGCATATTTGCTTATTGCTGTAGTTTCCCCAGCTCCTTCAATCAAGTGCTCATTTTAAAGCAATTTATAAGTGCTTCCCAAGCATGTTTCTAACATAGCATTTGCTCAATCATGCACCGTGCAATCAATAATTTTATGTTAGAGTAGCACTGATATTTTTGCTTTGAAACAATTACAAGATTGTCTTGCAATGTCTTTAAAATGGTGTGTTAATTATGAACATCAACAGAATTAGAAATTGGAACACAATGCCCTTCTGTTGCTACCACAGCACCCCAACAAAAAAATTCTAACATATTTGGCATTCTCAGTTAATGGGGAAATATAGTTTAACAAAAAAAATCGAGAATACAAGCTACTTCAGTCTAGTTTGTGCCAGATGAGTTCACTGATGGAAAAATTGCATTAAATTGAACCCATTGAAATTCAAGAATGTAATACAAATAAAATAATTGAGGAAATTATTAAATATGACACTGTTTGGAAGTTTTTAAATAAATACTGTATTAAAACTTTATTGCAAAATTTTGCAGCTAATGTTGCGACAAATATTACTAGGGTCAAAAATATTTCACAATGTGATATACCAAACTACCCAGTTTTATTTGGCTTTGCTTTTGATTATTGTTGCATTAATATTCATAAATAATAGTGGCAAAGGTTTTATTTAAATACAATCATTATGACTTATGACTTTCAGCAGTAAGTGCTGCATGTCCCTTATTTCATAATCATAAAAAGACCTAGGTATGTTCTAATTAACTTAATAATTTAAAATCTACATATAATGGAGTTATAAGCTCCCTTTAGATTGCCAGGTTATGAAGCACATAATTATATTTTCTCTCTTCACAACAGAATTATGCTTTACAGCTGTTTCTACTTTTCTGCTGCATTAGAAGAAAAACAAAGAAAAACATTGTTTAGCAAGTCTAATTTAAAATATGTACAGTTTTGAATATCTGCTGTCTTGGATTTTACACTTGATCAACCTGTGGTCTAAAGAGTGTTGGCTAACCTTTTCGGTACCAAATGCCGAAATGGGAGCCTGTGAACATTTTCGGCATCGAGGACCAAAGCACACAAAGCACGTGCATGCCAGAAACCGGAAAAGCAGATAATCTTCTGGTTTTCAGCACGTGCATAGACCACCTGTCCAGCGCACATGCCCCGGCTCAGCTTGGCCTTTCAGGGGTCCTCGCGCCTCCTTGCCCATCCCCCTGCCCACCCCTCTGGTCCCTGTCAGGGTGGCGGGACATCCCCACCCATCCGCAGCCCCAGACAGGGTGAGAAATGTTGCCTCCCTCCACTGGAAAGCCGGCGCCCCTTCCCAGCCTTGGAGGTAAGGGGCGTCAGCATTCCTGGGGCTTGGGTTGGGAGGCCAGCAGGCAGGAGAGCTTCACCCCAACTCTGGCTGGGATGAAGCGCCCTCCCCCATACTGCCACCGAGAAAACGCCAACACAGCCCCCCTTTCCCGGTCATTTCCTGGCCAGTGCGCCTCTTATCCCTCAGCAGCATCTCCATGCTGCACTTTTCTCCGGCCCTCCTGGGGCAGCACAGCTCCTTTTCCTCCAGCATCCCAGCCAAAAGCGGCAGCACAAGACTGCTTCCACCCCCTCACAGAGGCAGGAGCAGTGGGCAGGGCCAGCCACCCTGCTTCCCTGTGCGCTCGAGCTGGCCAGGTGCTCTAGACCATGGATGCACAGCAGTGCCATGGGCTGGAGGGCTGGGGCCGTGCAAGAAGCCTGCTTGGGCAGGGAGGGAGGGAAGCCCCTGCCTGCCTGTCTTGGCTGGCAGCTGTGCTCCCCTTGCTCTTGCTGCCCTTGTGGGTTCCAGAGTGTGCATGCACACTACCCAGCTGATCTTCACATGCACGGGAGCACCAGACACTGAAAGAGCAGCCGTATGGTGCGCATGCGTGCACTGGGAACATGACCTTCCAGTTTCCAGTGCACACATGTGTGATGGCCACCTGGTCTTCATGTGCACATGCATACCAGAAACCAGAAAACCAGGTGGCCAACATGCATGCGTGTGCTGGAAACTGAAAACCGGAAGATCATCTTCCCAGCGTGCCCTGGTGCACCAGGTAGCTGCTCTTTCAGTTGCTGGAGATCCCGTGAAGATCAGCTGGCCAGTGCACTGGAACCCGGAAGAGCAACGAGCAATGGCTCTGCGTGCCCAGAGAAATGGCTCTGTGTGCCACTTCCGGCATGTGTGCCATAGGCTCGCCATCATGGTTCTAAAACCCTGATTCTGCAGGGAGGCCAAGAATGGGCCACTCCGGGGCTTTGGGAGGCCTCCGCGTGGCCCATTTTTGGCTGGAAGAGTGCTGTTGGAGACCACGGAGGGCAAAAATGAGGGGGGGCACATGCAGCTCATTTTGGCCCTCCTGCTGCAGGAAGCCTTTCAGGCTGAAAACAGGGCCCCGTTTTGGCCTCAGGGTGCTGCAGGAAACATCCATCCCATCTCCCCCTCCTGCTCCCCACCCCACAGAGGAGAACTACAATTCTGATCTGTTCCTCGAAGAAATACAGTTTGACATCCCTGTTTTAGGGGATATTCATCCCAATACCACAGTTAAGAAGGTAATTTGACTTTTTATTCACCATAATCTATTTGGACGATTTTCTGCTATGGAAATACAGATGTTAAATACTGTAAAATCATCATATCAGATTTTCCATTATTATTATAAATTAGTAGCTTTAGGCTGTTCAAATTCCTGGAATTGTAATAATGTGTAGAACAATATTAATTTGGATTTTTAATTTTTTTTTTTTTGCTTTTTTATGGCACACCGATTTCTAATCTTTAATATTCTACATATTTTTCTAATTAGAATTTTATATAAATTTTAGATTTAGATTTTATATAAATTTTAGATTTATAATGTTAGGATTAAAATTTGCTACTGTGTTTTATTAATAGCCTAATTATAGCCAAATAGCCTAATAATAGCCTAAATCCTTCACTTAGACTTCCAAGCCACTTCCCACCGCCGCAGGGAGACTGAACTGACCAGATGGTTCCGTCCCAGGTGCCTGATGGACCCCGAAAGATTCCTGACGGAGCTTGGGCCATTTCCTCAGACCCTTGCACATGACTCGACTGAAGACCTGGTGGTCGCCTTGGAGAGTGCGGCCGCCGGAGCTTTGGACCACGTCGTGCCTTTGCGGCCTCTGACCCGATGCCGATCTCAATTGGCTCCTTGGTTCTCCGAGGAGCTGAGAGAGATGAAGCGTCGCAAAAGATGCCTAGAGAGCCTTTGGTGGACTAGTCAATCCGATTCTGACCGGACACTGGTGAGGTCTTATATCAAGACCTACCTAGTGGCAATAAAAGCGGCGAAATCTAACCATTTTTCCACTCTTATCGCATCTGCAGAGAACCGCCCAGCCGCTCTGTTTAGGGTGACCCACTCCCTTCTTCGGGGTGGGGGGGAGTGCAGGAAGATCCCTTGCAGGGTCAAGCTAAGGATTTTGTGCAATTTCTGCGTGATAAAGTCGCTCGGATTCAGGAAGGCTT